TTTTCAAAGTCTTGGCCACCTTAAAAAAAAAAAAAAACTAGCATGTTTTTTGAAGTTTTTTTTTTTTTTTTACTACTTTCCTGGATAAACAAATGGAAAATGTTTAGAAAGAGTCTAAGAAGGTTCATAATATACCCACTCCTCCTTTAGCAACTGCAATCTGTTCCAGGGACTTTGTCATTAAGCAAAATGGTTGCTAAGTGAACATGTGATAAGAGAGAGAGAGAGACCGCAAAGATCACTGGTTGCTGCCTTCTCATTCAGATAAGGTTTAGTGCCCTGTGCCTGATCCGCCCTCCCTTTCCCCCCTTGCAAGGCAGAGAGAATTGCTTAAACAAGCTATATCTTAAGCTGCTTTTCTCCATGGGGCAGCAATTCCTTAAAAAATGCTAATTGCAAATTAATAAGATCAGCTCTGTGACCTTAAATTAGTGGATTAGAAGCCTCCAGCCCACTGGCACTGCTTGAAACTGACCAGACCTTAATCAGTTTCACACTGAAGACTTTTGTTGTCAGGTGCACAAAATTTGGTTGTAGATGCCAGCATTGGTTGGAAAATGAATTTTTTCTTATTGTCATATTGCAAATGGTCACTAACCATGGTAGTCCCTAAATAAGGAATGGCTGTACCTTGAACCCCTGAAATGGTAAATTATTATTATTTATTAAATTTACATGCTGCTCAACTCCCAGTGACTCTGGGCAGTTTACCAATTGGTAAAACATTAAAAACAAGAAAATAAACCAAAATGAATTGGTGCAACTTCTTCCCCAAGAATGTTACTAATGATTTCATTGAGTCATGCAAACAGTAAATACATTACTTGTAATCATTACATGCTAATCAGTGCATATCAAAGATTCTCAAACTTTGAGAGCCTGGGGCTTCCTGCTACGGGCTTGACCTGGGGGAAAGTGGAGCAGCGTCAAATTTTCCTCCTGCCTTTGAGTTTCCTTGCACTCCCAAAGTTTCTGCAGCTCAGTCTGAGAACTCTTAATCAGTGGTTTCCTTTACGTTCAGTATATAAACTCAGGATTAAAGCATTTGTAGATTACCTCAGAAAATTGTGAATGCCGGCTGAAAGTGGAAGAGCTCTGATTACTCTGGTTGTTTGCTTTGATTCGGGATGCTTTTTTAGAAAAGTTGATTTGTGTAGTTGCTACTTTCTGAATGTAAGTTAATGGTTCACGGTGGAGAGCATATTCCCTTGTGTCAGACTGTTTGGCAGCTCCTGTGTTGCTATTCTGCTGAGAGGAGAGATTTTTATTAAGTAATTATTTGCTTCCATCCGAAAATATCATTGTCAACTACACCTACACACAACCCATGTATTAATCTATTCCTATACTGTACAGTAAATAAGCCTTTCAGAAATGACTGGAGAATGGAACATTCAGTTACTGTTATTCTTTTTTGCCTTATAATCCCCAACTTGATTCCCTTTGGAGAAGTCTGTTTTCTACAGCTGTCATAAAAGCTAGCCCATATTATTTATTCATAATATTTACATCTAATCCTTTTTATAGAACTTAAGGTGGCTTGTCCTAATTAACAGCAGCTTACGTTTGCCTTTTGACCCAAAGCCAATCACTTGACCTCAAACCATTCAAAGCTTGGGGCCACCTGTCACATGTTGTTGTCCCTGCATTATGTCTTCAGAAGCCTATCTTCAGATGCCTCTATCCCTAAGGTACTATAAAGAGAAAAGGATTGTCTAGGCAGTAGGGTTTGGAGAATGCACTTCTCCAGGGAGATCTCCCTGATGTTTCCTTTGGTAAATTTACTTTACTGTAAATCATTTTTAAGTTATCCAAATATTTTATGTACAAAAATTATATTTTAAATTGTAACATACTGTTCTTTATATTATTTGAACAACTTCTACTGTTTGCAAACAGAAACAATTTTTAAACTCCTGCATCCCACTGTATGATTTACAGGGATTCAGTTTTAAAATTCAGGTCTCTGTGATAAAGCACCAGACTTACCAAACTGAGTTTTAGTGCTTTGCTATACATCTGGAAAGCCCACTTGTCATTCAGTAGAATTTTCTTCCATGTAATGCTAACTTTAGCCATGCTGTTGTGGAAAGAAAACCTGTTGTTAAAATCAAAGAGCATTCTCAATTCTTACTACTTAACAGACCCCATAGAAACTTTCAACACACATATAACACTAACATAAGCACTTTTTAAAACCTCATCCTGTTTAGTGCTTTCAGCGACTTGCCTCCTTAAAGATATACAGAAGTATCAATTACAGCGTGTACTTAGGGCAGCGTAGATACTGGAAAAGTTCCTATCCTTTTCTGAAATGGTCTCAATTTCATTAAAATGTAGAAAATAAAAATGATTAAAAGTTCGTTGTTTGACATTTAGGAACATGTTTCCTTTTGTTCCACCAATGCCCTTGTGAGTTAAATCTAAAGGCCATTCTAGTATATTTGCAAAGGTCAGAATCCTCTTCAGTACTGCTTCCATAACTAGAAGAATGCTTACATAGCAATGTTTACAAGGGCATACAGCGATCCTGTAAGCTATATGCACATCTGGTTCCATTTATGAAATACAAGTTTTGAATAAAGTTTCATTCTCCTTGTGAAATATTTTCTCATGAAAACTAGCATTTTGCCCAGGGAAAACATATCTTGAGCTTTAAGAAAGTCTTGAAATTTAGTACAGCTTAACCTACATTTTTTTCCCCAAGGAAAAACACAAAATTAAGTGAACTTACTTTATCAAGTCAGTGTAGCTAAGATATATTAAGATGTTTGCTAATAGATGTCTGAATTTCCCATGAAACAATTCTCCAAGAATATCTAGCTTATCTAATCCCATTTTTTTGCCAATGAGATTCACAAATTCCATTTTCCTTGAAGCCATCTTATCTAAGACAAGAGCCCATGACTTTGGATTTCTTTTGCTAGTTTTTTTCAAAGTTGAGCAGACACGTTCTTCAAAATGGAGGACTGGAAGCAAATTCTTTCTTGGACTGAAGCTATGATTTGGTGTATTGTTGATATTCCCTGCCAACAGCATGCTGTCATCATTGTCACTGGGTTTGTGTCGAATGCCCAACAGAGAGGAGTATCCACTGTCTTCATTTTCATTGTCCATTTCATTGCTACTCTCAATATGCCCCCATGATACTTGTTGGTTTTCCTTATTATGCACAGGTTTTTCTTCACTTTTGAGGCTGAAACTCTTGGGACTTCCATTGTGCAGATCACTATAGAATAGCTTCTCTTTGGTACAGCCTTTACAACATTTTTCATTGTAACTCTCAGGACAAAGCTCTTCTGATCTTGTGTCTGTTCCAGTTAATTTTAATGGCGAAGACCCATAGTAAACATGGCTATGATTAAAATCACGTTTCATTTTCAGTGGTTAGGGTAGCTTTTCAAATGTTTTCTAAATGTACCCTGAAATACATAAATAAAAAAAGATATTAGTCCAGATCTTTATATTAAACTAGGGAATGGTTGAAAGTAAAGGACAAAGAACTCCAGGGATTTTTTAAAAAAACCAACAAAATCTTGCCTTCATTCTGATAATTCTTGATTATTTTGTTACTATTTGTAAATAGTTCTAAAAGCACTGTGGAAATATGGTATTCTATAGAAAGGGTTTAAATACAAATGGTAAGACATTTGCCATCAGATAAAACAAGAATACTATTTTATTCTGCATATATTGGGGGAGATGGGCGGTTGAAAAATTTAATAAATAAATAAAAATAAATAAACTCAATAAGAATATTTCCATATAGACTGATTCAACAGAACTCAAATTCAAGATGGCAATAAATATGGCATGTTTATCACAATTCTGCTTAAAAAGACCTAAGACACACATTCTTGAAATACAATAACCTATTAAGTAGTTAATAAATCATATCTGCCTAAGGATTCTGAGTTTGGCTGGCCACTTCTCAGATTCTGTAGTAGTGGTTTTCCTGCATTGGCAAGGTGTTAGCAAATCACATCTGCTTAAGGATTCTGAGTTTGGTCAGCCATTTTTCAGACTCTTTAGCAGTGGTTTTCCTGTATGGGCAAGATTGAATTAATAGTCTTTGATCTACTTTTTGATCAGAACACATGGCACTAGCTTTGTCTAACCTTTTCCAGCTGTTCTTGTGGGCTACTCTGCTTCTGTAAAAGTTATTAGACAACTTTCTTTTACCCCAAAATACTCCCAAATAAGAACTTTTCTGAGGAAAGCCAGCAATATAATTTAGAAGTAGTGAATAGCATTTTCCATATAGCTGGATCAGGCAAACTCCAAGTAGGCAGGAATAACTCCCATTCACATAACATAATTTCCCCTCCCTTCTGTTCCCAGTGTTCAGTGTAGAACACTGGAGGGCAGGAGGGATGAATAGAGGGAGGAAAAATGGCCTTACCCCAATCTGCTAATGGAAGCCATTCCAGGTGTATTTAAAAGGATTCTATGCATTAAGGATGCCATTAGCACTTAAGCACTACCCTGAATTTTGAATTGTAATTTGAAAAAGTTGCAGGTATTATTTGTGGATAGTTTAATGTAGTCACCATCCAGAATATGTTATTTGATTCTAACCTAGCCATGCTGCCTTCACATTTTTGAGACAATGATCTTCTGTCACAGGTTTGGAGCCATTTATAAAGATGTATGTGCGCAGTCCTTAAACAAGAAACAGGTCCAGATGTAGCCTGAATTGCACAACTGCTGCATGGCAAGAGCTATTTAAAGACATGTGCTTTGGGTGGAAGAGGTATCACACGCTACTAATCAGAGTGGGTGAAAAGCATGCATAGGTTCCTATAACCTCAAGGAATTAAAAGAAAACAGTGGTGACCATAAGATAGTTTGGAAGGTACTGTTATATCATTGGGGGGGGGGGGGTCTGGAAGGGGAATCGGGAAAAACGGCACATTTTTGGAACCTTTAAACTGGGAAACCCCTCAGGTACACTTTTTATTTTTTG